GAGTACAAGCAACAGCTGAGCTCTGCCTTCCCAGTAGTTGCCACGTTTGCTGTCCTGCAGCTGGATGCAGATGAGGGCAGCCCTATGTTCTTTTGGACATCCAACAAATAGGAATGAATCCTCTTGGCTACACATGGGCGTATAGGACTGACACCTATTTTCCTTTGTTTCTTCCACCTGCTTCACCCAGGAATTGGGTTCTGCTTGCATTTTTACCTTTTTCGGCTTTCCCTCTCCCTACCACATCATTTGCCTCTCCTAAGCTAGGTAAGACTTCCAGCCTTTCCCTGCTCCTTTCTCCTTGCAGCCAGCAGTCGTGGCCTGGCAGAGACAGCTGGTTTATGGAGCAGCCACAGCCCCCATGGGTGCTTTCCATGCTCTTTCATCCTTGAAGTGGATGGTACTGAAGCTGTGCCATCCTACTCTTCCCACAAGATCTACACCCCTGAAACTGCCCCTCTAGCTTTCCTACCCTTCCCTGTCAGCTCACTGTGGCTTTGGGAGCTGGCTCTGGGTGCCTGCAGGCTGGAAGCAGCACTCTGGCTCTCCCTAGGTGGAGAGGTGGGAGGGAGGGAGCGGTGCCTTGCTGCAGGTGAGGCAGGCTGCTGGTCCAGGCAGCGCTGGCTGGGGCAAACTGCAGCTCACCAGACTTGTTCTTTGGCATTTCCACACCCTGCAAAACTTGTTCTGGTTTTGCCAGAGACTTTGCTTCCGCTCGCTTCTGACCTGGAATTTCCACTCTCTCCATACAGCTGGGGTGTAGCATCACTGGATAAAATTAAGAGGGTCACCGTGCCCCTCTCTGGTGATCAGTGTCATGCATTCTGTGCTGCTTACAGAACAAACTAATGTATGTGCCACAATCTTCTTGTTGCAGACCTGCAATTTCAGCAAAGATCCCACGTGGGGCCAGGCTTTCACCTTCTTTGTCCACAGTGCTCATTCCCAGTCACTCCATGTTGAGGTGAGAGAAAAGCCTTTCCTTTGAAGACCAACTGCACATCTGTAGGAAGAAACCTCTTTTATGGAGATCAGTGCTGGTTTTTTCTATGTGGAATTGTCTTGTTCTGGGTTCCTCCTACTTAAAAGTAGAAGAAGGACCTGTTGTTGCCCGGGTGATTCTCTGTTAGGTGATACTGGTATCTGCCTTTGTTCTAGGATCATGTAGTGTGATATCTGAGTTTAAAATGTGGGATATTTCTGGCTACAAAGTGCAAAGGAGTTTTTATACAGGTCGGTGTGTAGTAAAGACATCAATATTTTGCTGTCAGAAATTGCAGCCTTAATAATTCCCAACCAGAGCCCTTCACCTCAGTGTTCTGGCTTGTTAAGCAGTTCTGTCTCTCACCAGCCCCTTCTAGGGCTAGTCAGTCAGATATTGTAGAATTGAACTTAGAAGGTGTATTGAAGTTAAATAGGCTAAACAATTACCTAAAGAACTTGTAAAGGTTTAGACCAGTTGCCATCCCAGCTGCCTGGGATATTGCTTCTCCCTGAAGCAAGTAGGGAAAGTCCAGTAAATCTCAGGGCCTGGTTTTTCTGCTGAGGCAGTTCCTTATCTGTGTAGTTAGGGATGGGATTTTTACTCCAAACACACTAATTTGTTACACCCCTGAAATACTGGGTATCACCCACTTGGAAGTAACCACACTTGATATTATGTCCAGAAGTAAATAAGCTAATTTTGGTTTCTGTCTGAAATACCTTCTTGCTTTGCTTCCCAGTTTGCCAAACTTTTGTTTCCTTTTTTTCCCCCCCTCTAGATAAAAGACAAGGAGCGGGATAGTGCCCTGGGAACTTCAGTGGTATGTCTGTCCCACTTACTTAAGGACCCGAACATGACTCTGGATCAGAGATTCCAGCTGGACCATTCCAGTTCAGACAGCTTTATTCAGATGAAACTTGTGTTGCGGGTATGTTGTTCTTTCGTATATTCATTTGGCTTCCCTAGTGGAAGCATCCAATTCTAACCAGGCAAAAGAGATGAAAGATGACTGTGGAGAAAGGCAGCTTTTCTTCACAGATGAGTAGAAAGTAGAAGTGTGACAAGGTCTTTAAGTGCAATTAAGAGTGTATGGTGGAGCTGAGAAGTATCCATGAAGCTTCCTAATACTTATTGTAGAGGCAAGGCTGAAAATCTTCTCCCAACAATAAAGAGTTAGTCTGAGAAAATCTAAGCTGGGGAAATCAAAGCTCCTCAAAAGTAAGAGACACTGATGCTTAGAAGTCATTTTCTCACTGGGCTCTGGATCAGTGCTTAGACAGTGTTAAATGTATATGCAGTAGGACAAGAGAAGAGAACACTACAGTGAATCCCACAGACTCCTTTCATCTCTAATGGCAGATTCCTGCTGTTACAATTTTGTGGTGAAATTTTCTCCTGGGTGGTAATGCTGGCATTCACCCCAGTGCTTTGGGAGCAGCACTCACTGCTCTCCCTTGTGATTTTTTAGGCACTGAATGTTGAAGAACCTGATCCAGAAAGAGTCAAGGCTGGTGTCAATGCCTCAAAGCAAGGTCCCGTGCGTGTTATGGAAAAGGGTGGAAACCAGCAGAAGTCTGTCTCCCCACCAGAAGTCTCAAAAGTACCTCCTGTCAGCAAAGACTCTGCAGCACTTGAATCCCTGCCAAAAAGGGACAGTGGAGAAGACCTGGCCACTAAAGACTGTTCAGCAGCCCCTGTACCAAGTGAAACAGTTGCAGTCCCTGATGGGGCAGAGCACAAGCAGAACCCAGAGCATCGCCCGCCGTCAGCGCTGCACAGCGGAGCGGCGGCAGTGCCCGCGCTGCCAGTCGTGCAGGAGCTGAGGCTTGCACCCAGTGTCACTTCTCTGGGTTCTCTGCCTTCCTCTTGCTTTGAATTAAGTAGCAGCAATCTGGACATTCATAAGTAAGTGTTCTTCCAGCTGAATTGTTCTTCTCATGGGAAAGTTTAGGTATTATAGATCGCTGTTGCATAGAGGTGAATTCAAGGGCTGCTAAGTCGTTTAGTGTCTTGGTTCTCAACTCACAAAGAATTGACCTAAGTATTCCAGTCAGCAGCAAAGTAGATTACAGGGCACTATCAGATCAGGTGTAAAGTGAAAGCAATACATCTCTGGCTTTCCTAAGAGATGCTGCACATGTTGGCTTCATATTATTGAAGAGCCTCTCTACACTCCTGGCTGCCATAACACTCATTTAGCAACAGGATATTGGAAGTCTGAGCATCCCACTTCTGTAATATCATAAACCCTTGATAAGTTTCTCTGGCTGCTTAAAGCTTTGAATGCTGTGTTTTATCCAGTGAATTTTAAGAGTGATGACGCTGTGAACAAAGTTTTTGTGGATAGGTGTGCTTGTGTTTGTGTCCTTCCCACAGTGCTCAGTAGTCTGTTCTGTTAATCTCCCTCCTGGGGTGCAGAATGGACCTTGTAGAATCCTTAATGAACTGAAGTATCAAAGAAGGTCCACCTCACTTAAAAGAGCATCAGAGTAATTATAAACCTGAATGTGAAACCCAGCTCCCGCTGTTCGGTCTTGTACTGCTGGACTGGAGATTCTCTAGCTCTGAACAGGGCTTCATTTATAAACTATTTTTAAACCATTTTGAACAATGTTTTTTGGATTTGAAGCCACTTCAATAACATGCAGAATGAAATATAAAGAAGGTCCCATTTTGCATATACATACATTTTGCATATACATACAAGACATTCTTGAGAGAGCTGTGTAACACACTAACCTCTACTTTGCTGCTCCTTCTACAGCAGGCCATGGGGGGGCTTTTTTGGCAGTGTGTACTGTGGGACTGAAATCAAGTTCATGCAGAGAAGGCAGGGACGGTGCTAACGGGAATGTTGATTCTGTGGAACCTCTGTGGTCCAGCTGCTTCCTAGAAAGCAAACCTTAGGATGCCAGGAAGAAGAATAGTGCCCTGAAAGTTGGTTTTAGTCTGCATTTGGTCTGTTCAATAGCTGTATTGAAAGGCTTTGACTGTGCCAATGTCTTGCAGTGGTACCGAAATGCCTCTGGGGGAGATCCAGCTGACAGTCCGTTATGCTTCCATACGGCAGAGCCTCGTCGTGCTGGTGAACGGCTGCAGGTAACACTGACAATCACCGAAAGAGAGGGGCAGAGCTCTCTGGGCTTGTGTCAGTCATTCAGCAAAGCTGGAGTAGAACCAGTGCAGCAGGAGATGCCTTAGCACTGGCTGGCCTCTACCTGTGCAGCCTCACTCGGCCCAGCTCTGGTCAGTGCCAGCAGCAGGTCAGGGAGAGGGGCCGGCGAGTAGGGCCCATTGCAGTAGAGATACTTCAACTGTCATCCACCCAAAACTTCCTCTGAACAGCACTGACAACTGATGTGTGTCTTGGGGTCTCGTGATAGGCATCATGGCAAGGATTGATCCCTATGACTGAATTTGTAATTGTTAATTTAGGAACCCTGATAAGTGGCCACACACTAGGTAGTGAAAATTCTGTTTAAATAAATGTTCTTAAAGTTTTAGTTCCAACTCCCAGGATTAATGGTTTTGGCCCATGAAGGTTTGATTTGATTCGAAGAGAGTCAAGTTATTAAAACACACACTGGGAGAACCTGCCTTGCTTGTCTGTATTTCTTTTAACAGAAACTTAGTACCCTCTTCCAGTCGTGGAGTAGATCCATATGTTCGTATATACCTGCTTCCAGATAGAAGGTGGACAAGCAGGAAGAAGACTTCTGTTAAGAAGAAAACATTGAACCCTCAATACGATGAGAAGTAAGAAAATGTTAATTAGGATTGTGGCTGAAATAGTTATGGTGTCTGGGTAACGAAAGGGCTTCCTAAGGTGTGCTGCTCTTGGTCCTAATGATTGTCATGTGAACATTTGCAGGTCTTCTGAAACAAATGGCACTTTAATTGTGATTTCCAAGTACTTGGGGCTTGCTCTGCCTGTGGTGTTGTCTGTCCCTCTGTAGCAGGGCATACCTTCTTCCCTGCTCCTTCCAGCAGGTGCAGGCTGCACTTGCTTCCTTGCAAGCAGACATTCCCCTACCCATGTTTAACTCCCTGTCATGGCAAAGGCAATATTTTCATTCAAATGCCTTACAGAGCCTACTTCTCTGTTCATACTGCTTTGCCTGATGCTTGTTTGGACACCTTTCCAAAAGTCCAAGGCAGAAGTACAGAGCCTTTAGAGACTGGACCATTCTTTGGGCAGACAGATGGATGTTGTCATCAGTACCTGGTGGTACAGGGTAAAATGTTCCCACCCCTTTGCTGACAGTGTCACATGCACAGCTCTGCCACTGAAATGGAATGTGTTTTGTATAAACCCAAACACAGTAATGCTTAGAGGAAGAGCTGTTTTGACAGGTGGTCTTAATCCCATAATTAGAGGAAGGTACACATATGTGAAAATACGTGAATATTGGGTGATCCTGGTTGGTTTAGATTTTTCCTGTGTTGTGTCCTTTCTGTAAGTCAGAAATGGAGAAAGGATTTTAAAATATTTCATCTTAGCACTCAAAACACTGGAGCTGTGGATTTTTCTGTGTATTCCCAAGTAGCTCCACTGATTCAGTGCCAGCCCAGCTGTTGGGAATATCATCTCGTTTTCCTCATCCTCAGTATTGACGTATCCTGTACATCCTTAATTAAGGATAATAAGTTGGGCAATGCTTAACTCCAAAACACATTACCTGTTTTACAGCTCTGACTTGAAGAAAAGCTATTCAGGTGGGCAGAACTGATTTAGCATGGACAAAACTCACTTGACATTAGTGATGTGTGCCAGAGGCTTGAGTCAGAGCCATTAAGAATTTAATTGCCACAAGTTTCAGACTTTGCTCTTCGGTGCAAGGCTATTCTGTGAAATTGGGGGTTTGGCTCAGCTGTTTCCTCTGAGTAATGAAGGTTGAATGGCAAACACGCTGGTCTTCCCATGGAGAGGAAAAAAGATGGTAAATGGCATTTCATCATGGATGCATGTTTTCCTCCTTCCCCCTGGCACAGTGAACAGTCTGAACACAGTGTAATAGTCTTTCATGAGGCCTGGAAGAGGTTTCTTGCAATGTGAATGAAATCTAACTATAGATTTGCCTTTTCTGTGCCTTCCTTCCCTGTTAAAGTCTTGGCTACTGATGTTGTACTCTGTCACTGTAATCTGGCCACTGATGCTTACAGGATTTTAAGCTGTGATTTACATCTCTCCTTTCTAAACTTTACATTTAGGTTTGAATTTTTTGAATCTTTGGAAAATGTCAAGAAAAGGACACTGGACATTGCAGTGAAAAACAGCAGGCCGTTCATTTCACAGGAAAGGAAGGAGCTGGGGAAAGTAAGTTTAAAGAATCCGCACTACAGATGTAACAGAGCTGAACAGTCTGGGCCATTCCTGTAATCCTGAAATGCAGCTCGCTGGCAATCTGGAAACAACATCTGCCAGATTTTCATCTGAAATCAGGCTGTACCATGTGGAGGCTCCTTTTCACTCGGGCCTGAGATGCAGCCCTAGAACTAGAAAGTGGGTCTGACTTGGGAGGAGTGCTAGCGTAGCTAATCAATTTGTATGCTGAATAATACACAAACAAATAAAATTGGCTTTTTAAAGGTGCGGATCGACCTGTCCCAGGAGGACTTAATAAAAGGTTTTGCACAATGGTAAGTACCATCTCCATACTTCCAAACCCTGCCCATTGCTTTGCTGGGAGTTTGCGTGACTTGTTGAAGTTCTGGTGACTGGGCTGTGTTTGGGTGAGCAAGAAGAATATCTGACCTGCAAACGCAGGACTAACTTGAACTAATCTGGTAGTTTTATCTAAGTTGTGTGTTAATCCATGGGCTGTGCGGTGCCTGCCCTGTGAGACAACTTTAATGAGATGCCTGTGTGCCAATTATAGTCTTCAGCATATTTTATGTTACCATAAAAGCCATGGGGACACATAAGTAAAAGAATTATGTTTATTAAAGCAACTTTGCAACAAATTTTAACTTGGATAAAGATCTTAACTAAATATTCTGATCAGCAAAATATATATATATATGATAAAACTTTAATTACAAAGCATTTATAGAAACTATTATAATAAGCCACTTACAGTTCTGCCTGTATGTTCATTGTGGTTCTGAGGTTTGTGTGTTCATTGGTCTGAGGCAGAGACTGAGAACCTGGCTTGGGTGTTTTTTTCCACTTCTACGTCTGTAGCTAATGGCAGTAGTTCTTCCTTCTTTCTCCTTCAGTGGAGCCCAAGGAATGCAGTGTGGGTAGTCCGGGAGCTTGCCATCTGCACAGGCAGTGAGCCAATATTCCAGATAGGAAAACTGTTTCCCTGGCCCAGCTTGTGTGTGTGTGTGTGTGTGTGTGTGTGTGTGTCAGGGCAATTATGGGAGGAGGGAAAAACGACACACCCAAAGTTCCTGGTGAAGAGCTGAAGTCTGAGGCCACCTCTGGAGCCTCCTTTGTCAGGCTCCCTGTGAAGGCCAAGCAATAAAAGCAGCCCAAGTCCTCTCTATTGTGGCAGTTAAAACTGTAAAGAAAGTCTTAAACTACTGTAATTACTTACTGTGTCTGTCTTGCAGGTATGAGTTGACAAGGAGTAGACGCAGGAGAATTTGATTTCTTCTCATGTACATAAGTCACTAATTTTTTGACTTTATATAAATGTACATATCTCTTGTAATTAATGTGTTTTGCACACTCATTGCAAATTTGAAGCAGTCTCTAGCTCAGGACATGTAAATTTAATGATCCCATTTGGAGATTAGTTCTCACTGAAGTTAAAAAATAAACATATTTTCCCCCCCCCATAGGGAATAATTTGTCCTTAGAGAATAAATCTTTTATTTTTGCCATTTCTGGCAAATCATCCCCCAAAGGACCTACCTGTAAGTTTGAATCCTCTCTTAAGGAAGTGTTGTACCTGGGGATATTTTAGATTGTCAGCCAAGTGTCATTATCTTGCTTGGCAGTCTCATGTCCCCAGGATCTTGTTCATGTTGTTTTAACATGAAAGTGTTGTACTTTTCTGAAGCAGCATTCTTCAGCTGTAGGGCTACAGAACCCATTAAACTTTAATAGCAATTATTTTTTGAGAAACTAAGAAATTGGTATTCCACTGTTCAGAAGTACCTTTGCAGACTGTGGCTGCAGGTATGTAAATAATGAGCTTCCAAAAGCAGGGAGCTTAGTTTACCAAGATGTCATTAAGGTTTTAGTTTGTGACACCTTAATAGGGTTTGTCCTTTGTTACAGTACATTTCAAAATCTTGTAAACCCAGATTATGCCTGAGGAACAGCAGAGTTTTGTAAACTAAGCTTTAATATTGAGGCAAAATATTTTTGGAAGCTTGGTGTACTTGTTTCTGTACAATAAACTTCTGTCTTGCATAAGAAACTTGATCTATTCCTTTCTGAAACTGACTTTTGGAATATGACCATGGTAACTTCTAACCATCATTTGAAGCAAATTTCCAATATTTTTGGCCTAGACTGCATTAATCCAGTCTGCTTCAGTCCATAACATGAGAGAATACTCACTGAGTAACAATGTGGTCGCATCCCAAACTGAGCCGAAAATGTAAACATTTTAAAACGGGCTCTCCAGAAAACCAAGATAGGCCAATGCTGAAAGTGTGATGGCTGAGGCAGTTAGAGCACCTTTATCTCATACTGAATGTGTCAGTAACATTCAAAATGCTCGTGGTTATAGTGTGCCTGGTCGTGTGCTGGGTTCAGTTTCCTGGACTGATACAGAGTGTATCTCTCTCTGAGACTGAGAAGACCAGTCAGTAGCAGTTATAATGAAAATTTTTCTTAAATTGACCAAGAATTAAGAAAAATTTAAAAAATGCAGCAACTTTTATTTATATAAAATCTGGAATTGTTGCTTATGGTAACAGGAGTTAGAGGTAGCTGTAATTCATATACATCAACAGGTGTGTTCACAGGTAAGATAAATCTTGCTCAAGAAGAGCAGAGTCACTCTTTACCAGCTCTCCATTTCAGGTTTCGCACCACAGGTAAAATATCATCCAGGTTACTGATCTCTGCAACAGAATGGAAAGCAAAGTGGTAAGGCCTGTGTACCCAGAACACCTTCAAGCTCAGCCAAAATTCTAACTTAACTGTTAGAAAAACAGACAGTGAATAAAATAAACTCCTCACACCTTTTAACGCTTTTGGGAAAAAATCATTTGGGCTTATGAGTAATATGATTGAGTATATGCATAGTTCAATGAAAATAAAGTATTTTGGTCACTTCAAGAGGAAAGATGGAAAGCAGAGGGAGACAAAAGGTAGCACTATCCCTCACATGCTTCTTGTGTTTTAGCATGCCAGGAGTAAACAAAACACTTGTTGGTTATTTAAAGTTCTATGAGGAAACATTTGCATGAAGATAATTACAACTGTTGCAAATATTACTTACCTAGAAGACAGAGCAAATCTTGGATGAGAGCTTGAAATGGTGGAAAGAAGCGCTCATGTTCCTCTAGTTTATCGATGATACTGAAATGTGCAAGTGAGACTGTCAGACAGGGGCTGCAAGGACATTGCAAGTTCACCTCCTTGGCTGTTCTGTCATGACTTTGTAGAAACACAGCTACTTAGTATATAAAACCATTGACACCAAAACTCTGTTCTCCAGTCCTGAAACCTGCAGCCACCAAGAGGTAGCTGTCACAAGGATCTCTGATTTCACTATTTATGCCCTACATACATCCTTCCTTTCCTCCTCACATGGCATCAGGTTGTCTATGGACTGGAACATTAGTCTATATATGCTAAATATACTGCCTGGGGGTTGCTGCCTTGGAGGTAGGGTTAGAAATGCTTTATAAGCAGCTGTTCTTTAGTTAAAATTGTGAGGAGTGAGCACAGAAGGGCTGAGTATTGTTAACTCAGCATGTGTCAGACTTGTTGCCTGCTCCCATTTTTAGTTGGTTTGTAGAGCATAGGCTGAACACAAGCTCTTACAGTTGCTACCACCTAGATGTGGCTGTCATCTGCTGAGATGGAACAGGTAGGCAGCTTGAGGCATACACTGCCTTAGCAACTCATACACTTCAGTATTACAGCTTAAACTTGCAACACTTTCTCCTCCCCACCCACGTGCAGGATTTGTCTCCTGATGAAACACACATCCCATTAAGGCTTCTTTGATCACCTTATCCATGCAAACCACGGGGTGTTTTGGAACCTTCTGGCCTCAATTCTTCTCTTTGCCAGCTTTATCCTTTTGAAAGGATTCCAGAGTTGTTTCAAGTAGGATCATAGTAACACCTCTGCTGTCGCAGTTCACTGACTTTGTAACAAATGATTGGTTTCTATCAGCATCAGTTTAGCCAGTTTTCTCAATTACTACATTTGATGTTTGAGGAATGGTCACCAATGGAACAGCCCCCACATACCTGTGGATGTCCTGAGTCCCCAGAAGCTGCTGTACCTGCTCAGTCACATTCTTATTAATGATGTCACATAGTTTCCCAACAGTATCCACTACCACAGTGGGTGGAGCTGAACTGTCTGTGGAAAAACAAACACTTCATGTTTCTTGTAACAGTAATAGCAGGGAAGTATTTTAGACACAGTTGAATTCTTGCAGGTGGCCAGATTTTATTTGTTTTTCATAGATCTAGGCATACACATTCCATCCTTCACAGAAAACAGAGTGCTCATGGTCAGAAATAAACAAATGTTAACTAGGAATGGGGAATCTCTCACTAATCTTTTGGTGGCTAAAAAAAAAAATTGGCAGAGCTGTGAATGTTCGCAGCAGAAGTGGTACTAAAGTGCACCCTACAATTTCAGTGGAAATCAGCCACCTAAAATTACATATATAGAGAGATAATGTTCCTGTGACACCCCAGACACATTATAGGGCCTACGCCAACAGGGAACCTGCTTAATAAATATTTTGTTAACACCCAGAACTTGTTTTGGTATTGGATTTTAACTGTTTTGACTACTGTGACTGAAGATAACAGGCTTCTTGTCCTTTTCTCCCTCAATTTCAGAAGAACTAGGCTTGGAGAAGGCATCCTCTAAGCTGCAGTTATTAGAGGGACATGAGGCTTCCTCATCTCCCATGATGGCTGCAGGCAGGAAGACTTCTTCTCTCCTTGAGTAAGGCTCAGCAGCCCAGGAGCCTTGCTCTGGGGCTGGACATCCTACAGCCCAGCCAATCCTTCAAACCCAGGAGCAGCAGCAACTCCTGTTCTTCAGAAGTACAAACTAGAAGAGAAGTAACTAAGTACACCTCTGAGTTCTGACAGGTTTTGACATTCAACAACTTCTTTTGGTTTTTAAGTTTAGCAGCATAAGATGGAAGTTTCTGAGGATTGCACACAATTACATTTGAATGAATTACTGAGTAGAAATCTACGGCAGAGGTTATTTTTTCCTTAAACTTGTTATCTTTCTAGTAGAGAATGAAAGACAATTATGAAGTCAGATCACAGAAAACAAAGCTTTGTGGGAAAAATAAAAATTCTGTTTCCTCTGTTATTCTCTTCTGCCTCCCTGTTATCCTTCAGCAACTGCTAAAGGCTTACAAATAATGGGAATTTGCTATTTAAACTGTAAATTGTCAGGAGCCTATTTTTATCTTCCCAGTGAAGAAAACACCTGGTTTACTCGTTTCTCAACAGCTCAATATTATTTTCTATGAAGAGATCAGCCTTCTCACTTATTTTCCTCTTCTTTTGGAACGGTCTGAACAAACTGCAGTGGTCAGTCTTTACCTAGTTCCAGGAGCTCATGGAGATTCCTCATAGCGTTGGTCATTTCCCCAAGCTTTGTGTAAACCTCATTCATTCGTGGATAAACACCATTCAGAGAATTCACATCAAACAACTTCTGGAAGTGGGAGACTATGGCAGACAGGGTCTGCAAGGACTGTGTCTGGCTGTTCTGTAACAAGCAGGAAGAACTCATCACTGTTACTGCTTAACAAGGCAAGGACACTTTCAAACTGTGAAACACTCCTAAAAACAGTCTGAAGAAACATTAGTGTACTGCCCTTATTAAATCTCAGCCTTTCAAGTATTTTTAAATCTGAAGACATATTTTCAGTACTTTTCAGGCACAAATATATACTAAATCCAAAATACTCTTTAAAAAGCTTTCTTCTCTGTTGCTGAGAATTTATGTATTTATGTATTCTCAGCACTGACTGAGAAACAGAACAGGATCATTCCTGAGACTACAAGGCAATGCAAATTCATTGCTGGTCAAGTGCCTTGGATCAAAGCAGCCTTCTCCAAGGTGAATTTATCCATTTTATTAAAACAGTCTTTGACTATTGCATGTCTTCAAACAGATATTTCTTAAACCCCACAAGGCTTTCAAATGCACCAATCTAATCACCATGTGAAGAATGCATTTAAGAATGTAACTTGTGATTATGAACCCCTGGCGAGAAATACCTTTTCCTTATTTTCTATTTCTTCCAAAATTGCATCTACTATGAACTGGAGATCTTCAACTCGTATGGATTCTCTGTTATCCTGTGGATCTGCAGTATGCCAGGGCATGAGTTCCAGCGACAGTTTTCTCAAGGACCTATGCAAATCCTTTTAAAAGAAGGGAGGGGACACAAATTATTTTAGAAACTACTTAAAGTTGTTTTTATTACAGAAACAGGCAGACTTGCTGTTTCTCATATGCAAAAACATTCCAGTGTTGGAGATGGTAAGGTTTTAGCTTTCATGGAATTTAAGCACAGTATCTTGCTGACATTCTTTGATTTGAAAACAACAGTTATAGTCTAAAACACTATATTTGCTGTTTTACAGTTTCAGTGAATTAAGAAGTTTTGGTCACAGAGAGTTTGTTTTCAAACAGAACTATTTCATTTGTATTTGGATCAAAAAGTTACTGTTCTGGCCAGACAAAAGGAAGAAAGAGAATGCACCTTCATTAATGTGTGAAGTCCAGACTCTAAAGCTTAATTGTCTTTTTATGGACTCAGCCAGTGAACAAAAACACTTAAATGATATACAAAGAGGAGTATCTCTGGTATGTGTTTCACATGGACAGCAGAATTACTTTTAACATTTAACACCCAATCAGGCAATAACAAAAGCTACACAAAAAAACCCCACACAACTATGTACAGGGAGAGACCAAGGAGGGGTCAGCCCATGAAAAGACTATAAGGCCAAGTACAATAACATGTTGTTACCTTTAGGGCCATCAGCTGATCTGCCCACATTTCTATAGTGAGGGGAAGGTGCTCAAATCCACATTCCTGTCCACTCTCTTTAGTATAATTTTGCACTGGCCCTTTGCTGCGCCGGTATATTAATGGGGGAGCTCTTGGACTTCGCAAAATAGAATCAATACGGGACAAAACCTTCAAAAACAAAGAACAAGTGTTATTGCTCAAATATGTAC